CTCCAGTGGTCAAGGTGGGTCCAGAGGTGGAATCAGCTCTGGAAACGGTGCTGCTCCTCGTGCAGGACACTCCAGTGGTCAAGGTGGGTCTAGTGGGTCTGGATGGCTATGGCAGATCTGATATGAAGGAAGCAGCTTGGGAAGGGGTGGGTGCTACAATGAAGTTGCTGATTACACCAGTACAATCGACTTCTGGACTAATGAAAGGAGGAAATTTGGAGGCAGCTCTGACATTATGAGGTTGAGGGCCAATACTTTACCATACGAGGAAACTAAGCTGGCTATGGAGGTCCCAGCTGCAGTAGCTATGGAAGTGGTAGACTTAGTGAACTGCCAGGAAACAAAGCAGGGGAAGAGAGCCAGAGAAGCAATGGGGAAGCTACAGGTTAAGACAGGTTTGTTATATATTTGTTCTTGGCCCAGCCAAGAAGGTTGGCTAAGGCCTCTCTGATCCAAAGAGAATTTTATGCAGTACTCATGTGTATAGGCAAAAATCTGAGAGTCACTGTATTTGTGACTAATTGTGTTAACAAGTTATTTTCATTTCAGTTTTATGTGGAAAGTGTCAAGCTTTCTAATTATGGGATTTAATGTTTTGTGTTTTTGTTTTGCATCCATGCTGTTGATTGCTAAATAGTCTGACCGCTGATGCTGAACAGATTGTAAAACAAGAAAATGAAGTAAAACAAAACAAGGTTTTTGAGGACTGTCTTTTGCTGAAGAGTCCCAGGAGGACAGCAATACAGCAATGAACAGAAGTGACATTAGAAGCTCTGGACTTAGCAGTGGGGGAATGAAAATTGTACATTCTAAAGGTACTAAGAATAAAGGTGGTTTTGAAATGTTAAACCCGTGGTCCTTTTATACACAGATATTAATGAGAAATATTAACAGTGAGATTATGAAGATTTGCCAGCTGGCAGGCAGGAGAGGATGGTGTCCTGATCAAGTGGGAACAGGCTAGATACCAGAGCCTTTCCTTACTTCAAGTGAGTTCTGTGAATTGTATCTTAAAGTTGGATCCCTAACTGTTGCCCAAAATCTATTTAAAGAGATTCCACTCTGCCAGAAAGCACTGAGGTGAGTTTACAATAATAGCAACAATAATTATGGCTACCACTTATGTGCCAGCTATAAGTGAGATGCTGTGCTTACGACTTAACTTTTATTAAATAGGTGTTTTTCCTCCCAGGAACCCCACAGGGAGATGTTGGGTCTCTTCTCTCCCTCTCCATACTTCAAAGACTGCCAAGGGAATTTGGGTTGAGGAAGTGTTTGGTTTCTTTTTATGAATGTTTTAAAACAGCTGCATGTTTCCTTCCAAACGGCTAAGAAACCAGGAAAGGAAATGAGGTCTTTGAAGTCTTGGAATGGGGAGTTGGCAAGGATATTTTGATTGAACAGAGGAAGAACACCAGTATAGCTGCCAGCACACAGGTACCTTTGGTGGCAGGAGAAGACTTTCCTTTCTGTTTGCCTTATTCTTTCAATAATATGAGGCAACATCAAATCAATGAGATGAGATGCCCCCAGTTTCCCCACATTTTCTAAGGAAATGGCTCTCATGCCTTTTCTGGTACAAAACCTTCAGTGATAACTCATTCACTGCTTTGAGTCACAGATTTCAACCTAACCATACTTTATCCTGATATTCCTAAGTGCCTCCCATGAAATCTGAGTTCCAGTTCCTCATAGAAGGATAAAGGGAATCGTATTCTAACTCATCTCAATGATGACCTCAAATATACCAAGTTTTCCCCCTCCCTGCTCCCTCAGTATATTTGTTTTTAACTCATTTGCCTCTGATTCCCTTACTCAAATATATTTAACTTCTGAGAAATATCACCAAAGTTTTCCTGAGCCATTAAAATGTTGATGTCCAGTAGTTTGTGAAAGATTTTTGCACAGTTGACGTGTCTGTTACATGAAGGTTCAATGTTTTGCTCTGAGTCCCTCTTCTGTCACATTCTACAACTCTATTGAGGATTTTGTTCTTGTGTCCGATCTTTAATTTTGTACATGTTTTAAAGTGAGGATATATTTTCAACTTGTAGCTGCTGGTGTGCAGGGAACTGTTATGAGGGGTGGTAGTATATTTAAGATGACTGGGGCAGTAGGTCTCAGGCTCACCTCAAGAAGACCAGGATTTGAAATTCCTGTTGTGATGTAGTTCTTTGCAGTGTGGTGGGTGGGAGTGGTGAGAGTTGCAGATCTCGGCCAGGGGTCAGAGTGGCAGTGCAGTGTCTCAGCCTGGGGGTGCCAGATGTTTCAGATGCCACAGCCATGTATGAAATTCAGCTTCAAGCCAGTGGTCTAGCGCCCCCACACCCACAGCAATGACAGCTGCCACTGGGTGTGCCTCCTTATCCAGTGTAGTGCCTGGTCTCAGGAGCCCTGCCACTGGCCGAGTCCAAGCCGTAGCTTGGCTCTGTACCACAGTCACAACCCAGGGGGGCGGGGGTATTACTCTGGTATTACGTTAAATAAAGTCCACTTGGGGCTTTTCCGTCCTCTTTCATTAGGGCTTATGCTCCTATTTGCAGACACTAATACTTTTTCCCTCAGGGGCTTTTGATTTTGTTTTGGTTCATTTTTGTTGTTTGTGTCTGGAGGAGGCAAGCCCAGCATCTTCACTCCACTACCAAACTTGCTGGACTTCCCCAAAACAACAGTTCTCATTAACATTCCAGAGTGCTTGAGTGACATAGTACTGGCCAACTTTGGCAAACTCACAGAGAGGACAGCATTTCCAGTCCACAGGGGCATTTGGTGGAGGGGTGAGGAGGCCAGCGTTCACACACGGGCTGCCTGGCACAGGACCAGCACTCAACGATTGCTTCCAAAACGAATGAATGACTTTCAATGCAGGGATATTTATCCAATTAGAATGTCAAGGACAATCTGTGGTTGAATTTAAGTTAATTTTAATGGCTAAGTGAAGTTCTGGAAATTTAAAGCAAGTGAGCAAAGTGGTTCTAAAGACTTTATGGCTGGAAGGTTAACTATTTTGAATGAAATGAATATCAGGATTATACAGATTCATTTTGAGGTTCACAATTCATTAAACAAGAACAATATGACTAAAAGAAGCAAAACCTGGCTCTCTATCCCAAAGGTATAGAGGTGCTAAAATTGGGATTGAAAAGCTGAGAGAGCCAGAAACTTGACAGTACGAAAACTACCTTCTATGTACTATTTTTCTCTAGTCATACCATTTTTTTATTAAAAAGTTTATTTTTACATCATTTTGTACATTTTTTTTTTCATCTCAATTGTAATCCCCACGGGTTTCCCATCACCAAGTCACCCCTGTGCCACCACCAT